AAATTATCTTTCCCAATTCAACAAACCTACTTTGTGCATGGCACATTAGTAAGAACGTCCTAAAAAATTGCAAGCCGTAGTTCCCTAAAGAAACCAATAAAGAAAATAGTGAATGGCAAAGTTTCCTTGCAAAGTAGAACGATATCGTTCAATCTGAAACAGAAAGCGAATTTGATGTAAAATGGAATAATTTATGCTCTGCTTATGTTAATAAACCTAGTGTAATATCTTATCTTCAGGAAACCTGGATACCATGGAAGGAAAAATTTATAAAAGCCTGGACAAATCAATTACTTCACTTGGGCACAACTATAACTTCACGTATCGAGAGTTCGCATGCAATATTAAAAGCGTACTTACAAACATCTACGGGGGATCTTCATCACATTTATACGACAATATCATTAGCAGTAACCGACCAGAGAAAAGAATTTAATACTATGATTGCATCAGAGCGCATTCGTATTCCGGCTTTTGCTACTTATAATTCTCAATATTCAAATATTAGAGGTAAACTTAGTAATATGTATAGTTACTATTCAAACTATTTTGAACGGCTTAAACTATATGATGATTAGCATTATATGTAGTTTATATTAAGACCAGGTTAAAACTATATGTAATGCTAATTATCACATGGCTTGGGCCATCCAAAATAGTTTGGATGGTAACTATAGTGATATGGATCAAAAATTGATTAAATATCTAGTTGACTAAGTTGCAACTAAATAATTAATCAATTTTTTTTAAAAAAATAATCAATTAACTAATCGATTATATTTTTTGCACGGATTCATAACATTAGGTAAAGTATCAAGCTTTGCACTCAATAAGATAAACGATCAGTATCAGAAGGCAAAACGTGCTACCACACAAGAGCCCTTACCATCATGTACTGGAACTTTCACAAGAATGATGAGCTTACCTTGCGCTCATTTTATTCAGCATCTGGAGAATAATCAAAATCTAATGCTTAATGACATTCATAAATATTGGTGGATTCCAGGAAACATATCAACGCTGCAGGTTGAAGAAAATAGTTCCGATCCTGAAAACCCCCCTACAACCTCTCTTGTACAATCTACAACAAAGGTATCAAGAATGGCCAGAATTCCAGCAATTAGTGGCACAAGATACTTTGAAAAACCTGATCGATGAACCATCAATGACCTTACAAAATCCTAATGTGGTTCACACAAGAGACCGTCTCTCTGGAGCTCCTAATTACCAGAAAAATAACTCGACATGCAGAGATCCCTCCAGTTTTGAAATAGTAGAACACAAGGGTAGGCATTGTGCCATTTGTCGACAACCTGGGCATAATGCTCGTACTTGTACAAATAAAAAATAGCAGTGTAAAAAAGTTTAGTTATTTGATATATAAATGAACTAAAAGAAATAAAAGTTCGCTCATAGCGTAGATCAGATTTTAAAGTTCACAACTTCGGACCTGCTTATTTATTTTTTTCGAATACATGTTAACACATGCAAATAAAATAACCCAAATTTGAAAATGTTACACTTTACTGTTAGTGTACCATAATGATAACGATAATCGACAGATCAGTACATAGTAAAACTGGATAGAAAAAGATTGGTTGCTTAGTTATAAATGATTTGGTATAAACGATTTGGTACGTATAAGCTGTTATAATCCAAGATTTTTTTCCTTTTTGTACGTAGGTACAGGTATCAAAAGTGCTGTACCCGTGTCAAAGGTTTAAAAAAAAAGTACAGTACATAGACGATTGTTTAACATCTAGATTTGTATGTAATGCATGTAACGCTACTGCCCAATAGCGTTCTAAGCACTGATTATTATTGCACGTGATCACATGAATATCAGAAACTTACGTTATGAGGAGTATGAATAATAAAAATAGGGGGTATAAAAAATAGCCCCCTTAATATATAATCCTATTTGCAATACTAATAAAATTTCTTTAGCAATATAAGCTACTTTTAATAACAAAAAAAATAAAAAATAAAATAAAATTATTATCTAAGTAGTAAATTAGTTTAGAGATAGAGCTAATCTGTTTTTCAACAAGGTTAATACTTAATTTTGCTATCTGTTTGATAAGTTGTTTAATAGCTTGATCAGTATTATTACTAGAAATAGTTAATATTAGTTTGCAAGTTTTTTATTATCAAGTTATAGTTATAGCTACTACTAAGTTTGCTAGTTCTGATGTTTAAATATTTATAGAATATTCTAGTCAAAGTTCTTGAATAAAGAGTTAAGTTAGAAAAGTAACAAGAAAATTATCTTTTAAGTAAACTTGTTCTTTTTTTTTCCTTACAAGAGAATCTTGCCCTTTATTTTATTATCATTTAATACTGATTACAATATAAACATATAAAGCTAAACTATATATATAAATATGAAAGTTAAACTAAATATGCAGGAGATTTTACCCTTATATCATAATACAAGTAACTATTACTAATATAAATGAGCTCAACTAAATATACCTAGTAAATGATTATTACAATTCTAGACTTACTCAGATACCTATATAGCTCTAAGTATGATTGACTCACTAGCAAGTTTACTTCTTAAAAAGCTCTGTATTCAATATACAAAACAATTCAATTCCTCGATAATCCACTGACAGCCTAGTCAAGAACCTCTTGGTCACCTCCTACTTTATGCCAAACTGATCCAAGATGAGTAGGCTACAAAGAAAGAAAATAAAAATTATATATATAATGAAAGATACAAAGTCATATATTATATAATATTGTTGAATAAAGAAAACCTGCTAACAGATAAAAACTTTTAAACAACAAAAACAAAAATAAAAAGAAACTAATGTTCCTTCTGGAATAGTGTAAAAATTGTATATATATAATACTTAAGTTATTCTTTAAATTCTCAAAGGAGTGAGGTATCGTATTATAGAGAGAATATTAACAACTTAGATTTCTTATGACACGTATTTGGCCAAATACATGTTTGTTGTTTGTTTACGGCATGGGAAACAACAGGCTAATACCTAATTGTTTTTGTTAATATGTGTTGCAAATCTTTTGGAAGGAGTAAGTAAAATTCTCTAAAAAACACTAATGAGTTAGAGAAAAAATCTAAAAGATGATATCAGAAGAGGCCACTTCTAGGAGAAGAAGATTTTGCTACATATTTTCTTACTAAAAACAATACAAATACTTGT